GGGCCTGGAGGTGGGGGGTACGTGCCAGGCTGGGCCTGGAGGTGGGGGTGTGTGTGCCAGGCTGGGCCTGGAGGTGGGGGGTACGTGCCAGGCTGTTTCGGAGGGTGTCCCCACCCTCTGCACATTCTCACCTAGCTGCCACCCGTCAGAGGGAGGTTATGCTGGCTGTCCTGCGGCCATTACCACCAATGCCCCTCCCCTAGTTGTGCCTCCAGCCTCCAGTTCCAGGGTGGCAGGCAGGGCCATGCTCCTCTTCTCATGGAGCCCTGAACCTCAAGCTGAGGACAGTCCCTCCCCACAGGCTGATACCTTCCTCCTGCAGTGAGGGCTGCCAGCTTCTCCTCCCCAGGCTGAGGTGGGGAGGGGTCGTCCAGGATCCTCTGGAACTGCATCTCCAGATCCTGAGGCTTGAGCAGACGGGAGCCCTCATAGAGCCACAGCTTGAAGAAGCGTCCCTTGTGGTAGACAGCCACGTGCCGGCTGTCTGAGAGGTGCTGCAGCACATCTGTGACAGAGGCCATGGGCAAGCTGAGGCGGGACCCCGGCTACATCCTGGGAAGGGCCCACCTCCCATGCACTGGGTGTCCCTGCAGACCCTGCTTTGTTCAGCCTCTGCCTGGGCCTTCCTGCCCCCTGGATGGGATCCGAGTGTCCTAAACCAGGCCCTGTGCTGGTGCTTCCGCTACCTCCCATATAACACCAACAACAATCCTATGAAGTATTTCACAGAAGAGGAAACGCACTAGGAGATTGTGCAAACCGCCTAAGGATACAGTGTCAGAAGCAGGGAAGGCTGCTGCCTCTGCCAGACCCCTGGGTGCGCCTCTCCCCTCCTCTGCTGGCTCCATGGTGGCACCCGGCCTGTCCTAAGCTTTCGGCTGCAGCAAGATTCCCTTCACCACGCACAGTGAGCCCCGGAGGCACAGGGGCTCTGCTCTGGGCCCCGTGGGGTCCCTGAACCAGCATCATGCCTGTAAATAACAGATGTCTAGTATCTGTCACAATTGACTACTGTTCACAGTTTCAGGACCCTGAGACACTGGGGACGCTTGGTGAGGAGCAGGCAGGAGGGCAGCGAGCCAGCCAGACGGCCCACAGGGAGCAGGGAGGGCTCAGTTACCTGTCTCCTTGCCCGGGACCCGAGTGGTGTTGAACATCCTCTCCATCTGATAGGAGCACATGGGCACTATGCCTAGTGCCATCACCTGGGGGAAGGCCCAGCATGGCTCAGACTCAGGTCTCCTCTCCCATCCCACCTTCAACCCTGACACAACTCACAGGCTTGATTTCTTCACGGTCCAGTTTACGGCGATACATGATCATGGCGTGGATGGTGTTTCCCAGGCGGGCTGCCTGCACATCTGTATTCTTGATGAGCACAAGGTCCTACAGAGAAAGCAGAGCCCGCGCGGTGGGGGCCTCTGTCTGGGTGTCATCTGGGTCTTGCTGACCCAAGGACCAATCTATTCGGGGGCCTGAGGTGTTCTGTCTCCCTCCTCCGGTCCATCCTGCACATGCTGTCAGGGTGAGCCTCCAGAAATGCACAGCTGGTCACAGTAACCCTGTGCTCCAGCTTCAGCCGGGGCTGCTTTTTCAGTT